ATACTGGCTTAGAAATAGTCCACTTAAGCGTTGTAAAATGAATAGCACCGGCGTGCTTCCTTCGGCTTATTGACTTCAAAATGCCAACAGCATTGTATGCATTGGAGGCCTCTGGTTTTTAGGACAGGGCTCACCTCGAAATCAAGTGGACTATATCCGATGACTTCCGTTTTTTAGCGGGAGCCTTTCCCCAGCGGGCGGGCTTGGTCAACCCTGTCCCCCCCCCCCCCCCCATCACAAAGACTCTGGCTGCGTCCCTGAGTCAGTACGTTTATTGAGCACCGATTTTATGTACGTAAGAAGCATGGCAAAGTAACTCAAAAGCCAGCTCAACCAGCGACGCTGCTGCAACCATCCTGCATTACGCATGACATTGATACGATCGGTGTTTCGTTTTTCACACGCTCGAAGTCAAACGGGTGAGTCTTGCTGTCCCTCATAGGCACAGCGGCTTGGAGCAGTGCGCCCCAGACGTACAGCTGGCTTGCATTTCGTGTTTATTGAAAAGAGCGGGGAAAGGGGATCCCCAACAGGAGGACTTTAGCCACAGCATATTTGCGGAAAGGTTGAAAATAATGTTCTTAACTTTTGTGTGGAATGAAGATCACCAGTATTTCGCATTAACATGCTGGCATAGATATTCACTTAAATGCATGTGTTTTATCGATGCTATTTTGGTGTATTGAGAACCAGCATATAAATGGGTTATGATTGTCATATATAGAAGATGCCCAATGCCCTTTTGGGTTTGCTCATTGACTCTAAAAAGAAGGATAAACCCTCACCCACCTCGGTCGGCGACGGTTCGGAAGGATAAAGGTTGAACTCTAAGTGTATCAAAAATTCTGGAACGGTTTCAGTTCGGCCCATCCAAGTTTAAACGCCTTTCAATAAGTTTCGTATATTTTGGAACATTGTTTTCGGCGTCAGGTGGGTTCACAAAATGAATGCAATAGGCGGAGAGCAGCGCTGAGATTTCGGTATGCGAACATTCAATAGGCGGAGAGCAGCGCTGAGATTTTGGTATGCGAACATTCAATAGGCGGAGAGCAGCGCTGAGATTTCGGTATGCGAACATTCAAAGCTATTATTGCTACTTCGAGCTTGTTTATGCGCTGGATTAAGTCCCAGCCAGGTTCAACTGTTCTACACGAGGGCGTACGAGGCCACGAAGAGCGATCGTAACTTTCATATAGAGGTGTCACGCCACAATGGTTTGAGGCGCCTATTTGCCCTAAATAAGTCGGTACAACCGACACGTTTCTAAGTCAGGTACCTATATAGCCCAAGCGTCACTGGACAAGACACAAATCGTACCTAAGGTTATTCAACTCACTTGGAGTAACAAAAGCCGATAAGGTCTAAAAGGCCTGAGGCGAAACCAAAATTGCCCAGACGATCAGAATATGTCATCAAATACCCGGGATATATGGGGCTGACCCGTGACAGCATGGAGATCGGGGATGATGAGCGATTACCATCTTGGAGCTTTGTAAGTCTCTTTCCATGTTGCAGGTGAGTTTATTCGATTTTTTCTGTGCCTACCAGAAGACCAGTAATGCTTACCCTTGTGGGACAATTGTCTCATTCGCTACTTGCGCAGCACATAAAATGGAACTGTAAACAACGTAGGTCAGGGAGTTAATTCACTTTTATGTGCCTACCAGGAGCTCAATTATGTTCGTTCTTATACGACATTTACTTCATTCGCTACTTGCGCAGTGCACATCTATTGATCCAGATGTCCGCATGTCTACAGATCCACACCAGTCGCACGTCCCTAAACACGACTGATCGCAGATATACAGACCGGAACGACAGCAGATTTACAGGCTAGCGTAGACGCAAATCCTTTGGCAGGGAACAGCCACCGGCCGTGAGAGCGCATGTCGGCACGTACCAGATTTCTTAACAGGCCGAAGCGGTGGCCGGTGAACGCAGGTTTCGGCGTCAAGGCGTCAAGAGTTGAGATATCTCTTGCCGGACAGGAGCTTATACCCTAGTATTGTTTGCGGCAGAGGGTGGAAAACTCTCGTTGCTGTACCGTAAATCCACTATTGGGGTAATCACTTGACATCGAGAAAAATGCTGGATAGCCTGACCGGCATCAGGCCAGCCTCAATGGATGGACCACGCCGAAAACTAGCCTACAGGAATAGCTAATGACATTTTTAACCCAAAAGAGCATATAACCGCGTTATGCGTCAGAATCAACTTCATGTGGCTCATAACTAATGATAACTGTAACCGCGGCAAGTAGCAATGTATGCTCCCCCCCCCCCCCCCCCACCACACTCCTCGCTCGACCCTACATTATAAACGCGTGCACGGAGATACACGCGTACGGAAAGTGACAGTGTGTCACCTGTTTGTCACCGATGTCAGTTTGTTAAAGAAAGCTGTGCTGTGTATCAGATCATCGGCAATTGCACGCGGGACGTGTTAGTTCACCCCCGCGCTCCTCGCCGTCCCAGGCAGCTTTCTCGGAATCTGGGGCATAATAACCACCTCAGCGAAACCCTGCACCATCAAAACTGCCTCATGGGGCCCAATTTACCTGACAGGGTTTTTGAAACAATGCGATGTATGGACATGCAATTTGTACGCGACTCACCACAGGTGTGTGAAGTTGGCGGCACATAGGTGCCAGGAAACATAAGAGAAAAACAAAACGTGCATTTAGTGTGATCTTTGGTCAGTGGAGTGTGAGTAACATATATGTAATCTAACCCCACTCCTACCGCTATATGTGCTCTTACCTGCAACCCTAACCATATCCTTACCACTGCCCCTACCCCTTGCCCCCCTGACCTTTTCCCCACTTCCTGCTCCTTCGCTTCTAGCCCTACAACCACTGTTACACCTACGCAAACCTCTGTCCTTTCTCATGGAACAAATCTTACACCCTGACCATTATGATATATATATATATATATATATATATATATATATATATATATATATATATTATAAGCCACAGCACCCCTGTTCTGCTCGAAACATTGGGTCAACCACAGAGCGAGAACGGCATAAAACATTTATTCCGCTGCGTCCAGCTACTTATAGATTTCCCCGCCCGTCCACCACATAGAAAGGCCAGCATTCCAGCGGAAGGGGTACTGAACTCTCCCCAGAATACCATGCTCGCTGATTCTGTCGAGAAGATCCGCCCACGAACCACAGTTAGCATTGCCCGACACCCGAATCAGGAGTATGACGAATCGCGGTCGTACCAGTTGACGAGGCGCAGCCGTATCCGTTAACAAGGCGCGATGGTATCACCTGACGAGGCGCGACCGTGCCAGTTGACGAGGCGCGACCGTGCCAGTTGACGAGGCGCGACCGTGCCAGTTGACGAGGCGCGGCCGTATCAGTTGACGGGGCGCGGCCGTATCAGTTGACGAGGCGCGGCCGTATCAGTTGACGAGGTGCGACCGTATCAGTTGACGAGGTGCGACCGTGCCAGTTAACGACGCGCAACTGTGCCAGTTAACGAGGCGCGACCGTGCCAGTTGACGAGGCGCGACCGTGCCAGTTGACGAGGCGCGACCGCACCAGTTGCCCGACAGCGATCCTGACACCAGTCAGGATTTACCCGATCTTGTCGATTGAAGGAAAGGACTTTAAACTGAGCCGCCATTCGCTGCGTCACTGAACATCACAGGGCTGCAGAACGCGGCTCGCAGGCTCCTGTCGCATCCAGCGACGCCTGCAGTGGTGAGACCAAACCCATGCCACGGGTAAATGTACGTCAGGATGGCACACCGGCGGAACATGCCCGTGTTGGAGCCAAAGCAGCGTTTCGTTTTCGATCAGTGTGCCGATATTTTGAAGCATGCGCAGCAACTCTCGTTTGTCGTTTCAACGCCAGCAATGTCGACTTTGGGTATCACAAGGATGTGACCTCAGACTCACGAATGAGGGCTTTTCAGCGGCAGTGTCGTGTTTCATGACATCGCCCATGTAGTCTGGTTGGCATGGGATGAAAGTCCTTTTGGCTAGCATTCATTTTCGGCTGGTCATTTTAGAACCACAGGATGAATGAGAGCGCTGAGTGGTGGGGCATCATTGCGGCCATCGTGCGAAACCTCCGCAAACAAGTCTTATCCCACACACAGCACCCTCTTCGGGCTTCGTGCGGGTGCTCCAGCGATGCTCCTGCCGGGGCTGGCACGTGCACTTCCAATCCATTGTTCATGACGTTTACCTTCTGATATTTCGTTTGTACGCGTGTGGAACCGATGTGAGGGCTCTGGAGGCGTGAAACTATACTTACTGCATAGGCTAGTTACTCTTCTGCTCCATAAAAACGGTGCGATTGGTGTCTGAAAACCCTCAAGACAAGACAACGGCACACAGAAACCCATCATTTGATGCTGCTAAAAAAGAATCTAAAAATTTATTCACGCTCTGATCTAAGAAGTAATCCCAGAAGGTGCCAACAAAAATATATGCAGCGACCATTTCCAAACTTTGTTTTTCTTCAAACAAAACAGCCGTGTGAATGCAAGAAGGCATTGAAAACCGCCTAGTAGCTTCAGGTCTCTTTCGGGAATATTCACACTAAATCTTTCGTATGAACCGGTCTTGTGCGTTTAGGCCGCTGGATCAGACCACGTCACGTGGTGTGGCCCTGATACCCAGCTCGTGTTTTGTCCGCTTCCAATCAGCATCCGCTCAAGGTCACTTTCGCCACACAACACAACGACCCGCGTCCGGGCACGGGCGCAAGCGGGCCTTTCACGTGATCCTCCATGCAACTCACGCGTGCCCATGCGTGCAGCCGCTGTTTCCCAAGCGTGAGCATTAGAGGTGAGCGATGAGCACATGGCGCTATGCCTCCTAAATATCTCTGAAGCAATTTGTAACCATGACAAGACCTTCAGACCTCGACCTTCCTAGCAGAGCACCCTTCGAACGCCTCTGGACCGGCCCGCGTCTCACTTGCGTCCCACGTAATCTCAGACGGCTTGCCTGCCTATCAGTTGTGGTGGCGCTGGTGGGAGAGGCAGGTCGAAACTGGAAAGGAAGCACGGTGCACGACACGCACCGCAGTCGAGGAGGTTGAACTGCTGCTCGGACGTGTGGAAATATGCTGGTCTTCATCGCCTTCGCGTTTCTGGTGTTGACATGTGTGTGGCTGAGAAGACCGAAACGTCCGGCGCGGTTTCCACCAGGTGCGTGCAGTTGTCATTATTTTAGCGTGGCCTTGTGCTTGCTACTGCGTAAATGTCTGCACCGCCTAGTCAGAAACAGGGGGTTGACAATGACAGACGGAATGTGCCACATATTCCTGAGCTCTAACCGCCCAAACCGGTATACCTTATCAGAAAATGATTGTTGGCTCCTTCTCTTCGCAGTGCTACACGACAATGACAGAGTAAATGCCAACTAATCAGCTATTTGCTATTAACGTTTAAACCATTGCTCCTTCACATAAGTGCACACGGTTTGTGGGGAGCGGCTTACAAACCGGGGATTCAGTTGTCCATCACTGTGTGGCACTACTTACATACAAGGGGCAAGCTGGCCTACGACTACTACCACTCGCCCTTTCATTTTTCGCGCCCAGTACCTCAAAAGGTCTGACTGTTGTTTGTTTCAGGCCCGCCGATGTTCCTGGTTTTTGGCAATTTGTCCGCTTCGGTAGAACTACTGAAAGGGAACTTCATTTCTTTAATGGAAGTAAGTCGGCGGCAGTTCGGCGACATCGTGGGTTTCATCCCACCGGCCGGCAAGAGCGTTGTTCATCTGTTTAATTTCGATGACATTAAGGATGCATGTGGAAAGCACGAATTTGCTGGGAGAATGGACAGCTTCCTTTCGCTCTTACGCAGTTATCATCAACAGCTTGGCATAGTTTTTAGCCAAGGTCCCGCGTGGGTTGAACACAGACGTTTCGCTCTGCGCCACCTGAAGGATCTTGGCTTCGGAAAGCAATCCACAGAGTCGATAGTTATTGATGAGTTTGAAGAGCTCGCCAAAGACATGATTCGCGACAGTGGTTCGCCAATGAAGGTCAACCGCCGCTTCAACCTGACGGTGCTGAACGTCCTCTGGCGTCTGGTGGCCGACAAGCGGCTCGACAGCCACGATCCGCATGCCCAGACTTACGTCGACACCGTCAACGAGTTTTTCGAGGTGGTCAATCCGCGCAACCCGCTGCATCTGGCACCGTGGCTGCGCTACATCGCTCCGGAATGGAGTGGCTACAACGCCGTGATTCGTCACCGCAGCTTGACCACCGGCATGTTTAAGGAGCTGGTCCGCGAGCACCAGCGGACGCTGGACCGCTCCAGTCCGCGCGACTTCATCGACCTCTTCCTGCTCGAGATGGAGGCGTCGGACGCCGAGGGTCGCCAGTTCACGGAGCAGAACCTGGCCATCATCGGCATGGACCTCTTCATCGCCGGCATGGAGACGACCTCCACCTCGCTGAGCTGGGCGCTGCTCTTCATGGTGCTTCACCCGGAGGTGCAGGGCCGCGTGCAGCGTGAGATTGACGCCGTCCTGGGCGGCCGTCACCCCGCCTACGCCGACCGCAAGGCCATGCCTTACACGGAGGCCACGCTGATGGAGGTAACGCGACGGGCCACGGTGCTGCCGTTCTCGGTGGGCCACTGCGCCGTCCGCGACGCCGACCTCGCCGGCTACACCATCCCCAAGGGCACGGTGCTCATGATGCACCTGAACGCCGTGCACATGGACGCGGCGTACTGGGGCGACCCGCACGTCTTCCGGCCGGAGCGTTTCCTGCAGTCGGACGGCAGCGTGCGACGCGACGAGCGGCTCATCCCGTTCGGCGTTGGCAGGAGGATCTGCCTGGGGGAGACGCTGGCCCGCATGGAGATGTTCGTGCTGTTCACCTGCCTGCTGCAGCGCTTCAGCTTCGTCGCCGCCCCGGGCCAGAAGCTCTCGCTGGACAGCAGGGTGTCGTCCGTCCAGCAGCCGATGGAGTTCTTTGTGACGTACCAGGTCCGCGACGGGCAGTGAGCCGTGCTCTCAGGCACTGCCCGGAACTGTGAGCCATGCTCTCGGGCGCTTCCCGGAACTGTGAGTCGTGCTCTCGTTCCCTGCGCGCTGTGCCAAGTCCCTGGCGGCTCTTGCATCTGCCCTTAGCTCTTCTCGTATTTACACCTTAACATGATCTGTACTGTGGACGTTTCTGGTAGAGCATGATACTTAGCACTGTATTGCACAGAGGGACGGGATACGAGTGAGTACTTTAATTCTAAGCTCAAGCATAGCCTAGTGTGAAATGCTTGAAGTTCTTGACTGTCAAAACGATATGGTCAACGTAGCTATCACTCAACTACACCCAATGTTTCCAGGTTCGGTCATGGAGAGTGATGGGTTTTTAAAATTGTCTTGCGTCATGTTATACGTAAGGCGTCCAACCATTCCAAAGTTCCGCAAGTTGTTCAGTGCGTTGGCGAGGAACATTATTCACATAGATAAGAGAGAAGTAAGAGAAGTAAAACCAGGATAGTGGAAATATAGTTGGGTTAACATTTCGGCAGCATGCCTTTATCGAAGCAATAGCAGAACCTACATCTCCATTCTCCATTATCTCCATCATCGCTATCATTATCATATCTCCATTCTCCTGTTTTTTCACCGAGGAATAAGGCTAATACTTCTGTCTTAGGCATCCGAAAGTTATTTTACTGTGGACAAGCGCTGACTGTCAAACCTGGAAGGACTGTGACAAGACGACAGCGGCTGCGCGGCATGCTTGCCTATAATTCTGGTATTCTTTTTTGCTTAGAGATCTGCTCCCTGCGTGAGCGTGGTCGGTGACTGTGCATGCGACCTTATGTCACTGCCACTGCGCAAGCTGCATGCCATCGTCTTCGGGATCATCACCGGGGTCGAGGTCAACGGCTCGTCGGCTAGCAGCGACGCCAGCGTTACCAGTCACGTGCTTAGCACGTGTTTTGTTTCGGTTGGTGAGGTGCTTCTGCGTTTGGTCTGCTCCGGTATATCTCACTCTGTTGCTCCTAAACCCTGGAAGCACTTTCTCGTCCACTCTATCTTTATCATAACCTTTGTCGATGCGACCCTCTCTGAAACCGTGCATCTTTATCAGTGCTACGCCGCACGCTCTTGGATGCAGGCTAAAATTCGGATCAAAGACAAAAAAAGGCGCAAAATGACTACACTTCTGCAGGCATCCCCGTAGGTGAGTTTTGAGATTTGCATGCTATGATGACTATCTCAGTTATTCAGTGCACTAGCGAGGAACATTATTCACATAGATGCAACAGCAGTATTAGCCTTATTCTTCGGAAAAAAACAGGAGAATGGAGATATAGTTAGGTTGATATTTCGGCAGCATGCCTTTATCGAAACGCAGAGGTGAAAGATTCACTTATAATACTACTGTCTTATCTATATTATGATGACTCATTAATGTAGCTTACAGCCAAACAAGAATCCGGAACGTGGGGTGTGTATGGGAGCACTCCATGTCAAGCTTTTTATGACGAGCTTTTATGATAGGGCTTTCCCACCCTCGCACAGTTTTCATACACTGTGAAAAACATGACACTTGATGGCATCAGTACGGCGATGGTAGTTCGAGGACGTCATAAATCATGGCAAATCCCCTTGAGTGTCTAAAATTCCGAACGACCGGAAATGCTATAAAAAAAACACTTTTTATCATCGCTGCGGTATTCAGAAACGACATCAACGACCAAGCTGAGCTTCATTTTCAGATCCGGATTTATGACGGATTACGGATTTCATTGCGGATTTGATGTGCTGCCTGGCATGCCAATACGGCAAAACTTATTTGCAGGTGTTGGAAAGTAGGAGAACTTGAAGCAGTTCTCATTCGTCATCTTAAACCTTCCATAACCAAAAACGTCGACAGCTGGCCCGTGTGATGGTAGCCGAGAGCATTTGCTTGATATAGACCTCAGCATACGACTTTCGTATGTCTTTGATCACCCTTGTATGCACACTTCTCTTGATTTATGAAGTCGTATTGCCATCTGTTCGCCCTACTCCTGTCGTCAAGTGTCTCGTTTTTCACAATGTATGTGTTAAATGTGTGTGTCATCTGTTTGTCAGGATGTACGAAATGTTTTCGAATGCAAAAGGTCCAACCTGTTATAATACCTTGTCATAGAATCTTCTACATGAAGTGACCCCATAAACGTCTCACGTCCTGGATTTCTGTTGAGTTTGAACTTTTATATTATGGTTCATAATAAAGCCCAAAGTTCAAGCTCACCTGAAGTAACTGCCGAAATATGACGATTTTTTCGGCATATTTGTTGTCTGTCATTTGTGTTTGAGGCCCCATTATTCCAGTCATCGCCAAAGTTAGCCTGACATCCATTAGCAGCCATACCCTTGTCTTTTTTGAAAGGCACCTTCCCTCTGCTGATCAGCACGGTTCTCGTCCCCTGATCAGCACAGTTCCCGTCCCTTGATCAGCACAGTTCCCGTCCCTTGATCAGCACGGTTCTTGTCACCGTCACACGACAGACACTGACCCCCTGTCTGCCATCATCCGGATGTTACCATGGACATGTGCCCCTTATCTGTCTGCTGGAAATGAGCCAAATGTTTCGATGTGATCTACCAATAAAAGCTTCTGGAACAATTAATTATTTACGGTATTCACATATTGGCGTGCTGCGCATTCTTGAAGCTAAGCCCAGAGTGTGAGCTTCACCGACAGTCTGGGTGCTGCTAAAATATCCACCAGCATCGGCATTTTCTGCCAGCGGCAAAGCAATCTCAAATTTGAGACGTCTCTCGCATGCAGCAAGTGCTAATCTCCCAAGACATTCCCTTCCGAGCAAGCGGGCTTACAACAAAAGCCGCCAAGAGACAGCTGATGCTCTTGTAGCCCACAAGACCTACGTACTGTCTCTAACATCAACGCAAAATTCCGCGATCTTCATTTGTATTTTTTAAGCCATAAAATATAAGCATTAACTTTGACCTCTAACTCAGTTAGGACTTGCACGTTTCCACGATAATTCGGAGCTGCTTTGGGGTTCCGGGCGGTCTGCTGCGTCTGAGGGACACCTACCACCTATCGTCACCTGAGGGGGCACATACCACCCGCCGTCATCCGAGGGACACCTACCACCTGCCGTCATCTGAGAGTGCACCTACCACCCGCCGTCATCTGAGGGAATCTACCACCTGCCGTCATCTGAGAGTGCACCTACACCTGCCGTCATCTGAGGGCACATACCACCTGCCGTCATCTGAGAGTGCACCTACCACCTGCCGTCATCTGAGGGACATCTACCACCTGCCGTCATCTGAGGGACATCTACCACCTGCCGTCATCTGAGGGACATCTACCACCTGCCGTCATCTGAGGGACATCTACCACCCGCCGTCATCTGAGAGGCACTACCACCCCGTCATCTGGGGGACATCTACCACCTGCCGTCATCTGAGGACATCTACCACCTGCCGTCATCTGAGAGTGCACCTACCACCTGCCGTCATGAGTGGGCACATACCACCTGCCGTCATCTGAGAGTGCACCTACCACCTGCCGTCATCTGAGGGACATCTACCACCTGCCGTCATCTGAGAGCACACCTACCACCTGCCGTCATCTGAGGGACACTACCACCTGCCGTCATCTGAGAGTGCACCTACCACCCCCCGTCATCTGGGACATCTACCACCTGCCGTCATCTGAGGGACATCTACCACCTGCCGTCATCTGAGAGAGTGCACCTACCACCCGCCGTCATCTGGGGGGCACATACCACCCGCCGTCATCTGAGGGCACCTACCACCTGCCGTCATCTGAGAGTGCACCTACCACCTGCCGTCATCTGAGAGCACACCTACCACCTGCCGTCATCTGAGGGGGCACATACCACCCGCCGTCATGAGGGACATCTACCACACCTGCCGTCATCTGAGAGGCACTACCACCTGCCGTCATCTGAGGGGGCACATACCACCTGCCGTCATCTGAGGGCACCTACCACCTGCCGTTCTGAGAGGCACCTACCACCTGCCGTCATCTGAGGCACCTACCACCTGCCGTCATCTGAGTGCACCTACCACCCGCCGTCATCTGAGGGGGCACCTACCACCGCCGTCATCTGAGGGCACCTACCACCCGCCGTCATCTGAGAGGCACCTACCACCCGCCGTCATCTGAGGGGGCACCTACCACCGCCGTCATCTGAGGGCATCTACCACCTGTCATCTGAGGGGCACATACCACCCGCCGTCATCTCCGCGCTGGTCGATGCCTCTGCCCTCTTGCAGATATGTTGTGTCTCAGCATGTGGTAACGGTAGGAGAAAGAACTTGTCTAACATTTAGAACATCAGCTTCTCAGCAAAAGTAGTATCGGATCTGACACAGAGACTGGGGTGACTCAGTCCTGAGACCCCGGCTGACAGCGAGCCAGAGGAGCCGGCTGCACGTCTCCGTGACTGAACTGGTCATGAAAAAAGTCCTATCTGGTTCGGCTTCGCTCCGCATCGTCCATTAACGTCAAGAACTACAAGCACTCGACCATGAAGTTCAAATAATGGTGCCTTCGGAGAGCGGCCTCCGCAAAGTTGTGGGCGTGTAAAATGACGCCTGAAAGTTCCGACCAAATAGTGTAGCTGTGGTAAGTTTGGGAGGTTACATAAAACGCCGGCATTACATGAAACCCTAGTTTTCTTCCTGACATGCCGGGTCACGCCCGATATCTTCAACACAGCCATCTTGAGTTTCACAAACTTATCCTGAGAGGTCTGTTAGCGGGCGGGCCGAAGAACTAAGCCCATATGGGCAGACAAAACGGACGTTGGGCACTAGTGCAGCCCGGAGCTTGCCCCAAAATGTCATCTTTCGCCTGCTGCACATGGCAGCATAACGTGCTGTCATTTACAATAGGAGGCAGTTTGGTTCTGTGTGGTTTAAGGAATATGATTGGTGAACTGGCTAACTCGGCATGCATTTTTCAAATATCCCAAGAGCATGCTAAACGCAAATCAAATCTGACAATTTGTGCGTGGGAAGACGGGCAGTCAACATCGCTGGCCCGCTCACTTTGAAAATTGGGGGCCTTGGCCGACTCCTCCCTCCTCCTGTTCCTAAACTTATGCAAAGTAGAGAGTCTGCTTCACGCCTGGACGCCCTGCGTCTTAGTCACTAACCCCTTGACGCTTACGTCGGCGGTCTCGGAGCAAACATGGGCATGTGCCCGCCGCTGGGGGCCGGCCACCAGCACCTGCAGCCTCCGCTGCGCAGCGCGCGCGTCAGCACGTCGGCCTCCCTGTCCGTGGACGGCACCTGAGGAGTGCTGAGTTGCAGTGCGGGTGTGTTCTTCAGCCGGGGAAATCACAATCTCCATCCGCCTTCGAATGAGCCTCTCGCTCGCTGCCTGAGTCCTCAGCCTGGTGCTGCCCTTGAGACCATCTGACATCCGATCCGAGACAACACTGTCGCCGTATCGGTTAGCAGTCCCACCTTCTTCACCCGCCAGGGTAGAACGAGATTGAGCCTTTGATCTCTGCGCAGCCAACTGGCGCTCCCGGCGACGGCGCAATCCATCTCCATCGCCTCACCGATGGCCAGGGAGTTGGCGTCAACCCACACATTGGCTTTGTCACCCCAGACTGGACGTCTAATCAGTTCAGCTGTCAGGTCAGGGGCCGGGGTGAGTGTAATGGAGCGGTGCTCGACTGGAGGCTTGTCCCTCCCGCCTCCCCCCCCCCCTCCCCAACTCAGGGAAAACCCCTCCGCGTGGAGCGTCGAGGGGCGGGATGATTTGTGCAATTCGGTGCAATATTCCAAGGGATGCAATGTAAGGCGGCAATGTGGATGAATGATATGTTTTAGGTACATGCAGAAGCTCGGAGAGAACGCCAGAGACATCAGCATTGAGAACGTTCGGAGCTATTATTCGAAGCAGCGGACTTCACAGATGGGCAGAGTCAACAACACTGCTTTCAGAATTGCTTCCTACGGTTAGGATCTGTTCGCCCTAGATACTGATAAATGTATGACTACACGGCCGCGTGTGTAAAGGCTGTGATGTCTGGAAAACTGATTCAAATGTCGGTGACACAATGGACCGAGTCTGCATCGCGGTTCACACCCAACCTGAAAACGAAAATGAAATGCGTTTGTCATCAGCGCAATTCTGCCGTAAGTTTGACAGAATATGACGGGACACCGGGCCCGACCTCTCGGGACCGGCCGGTCAGTCACGCCGTGGCCTGCCTGGCCGGTCGGCCGCGGCCTGACCAGCGGGCGCCCACCTGCGCGCGTTCGGCGGCGTCGGCGGCCTGCTGCTCGGCGTCGGCGTCCACGTCGGCGTCGGCGTCGGCGTCGGATGAGTCGGCTCTGGAGGAGGCTGCCCACTCGGCCGGGCTGTCGCCGTCGCTTGACCAGCAGTCGTACGAGACGTGGTAGTGGCGCGGCCGCAGCTGCGAGCGCTGCACGGCGCGCATCCGCCAGCGCTCGGCCGGCGTCAGCGAGCGGCGACGCGCAGGCCGAGCGCGCGGCGGCGGACCACCCGCACCGCGCAGGGAGGCGCGACGACCGACACTGGCGGCGCCGGGGACCAGCAGCGAGCAACGGCGGACAGGGCTGGCTGCACCGGGGACCAGCAGAGAGGGACGGCGGATGGGGCTGGTAGCACCGGGGGCCAGCAGAGAGGGGCGGCGGACGGGGCTGGTTGCACCGGGAACAAGCAGAGAGGGACGGCGGACGGGGCTGGTAGCACCGGGAACAAGCAGAGAGGGACGGCGGACGGGGCTGGTCGCACCGGGGGCCAACAGAGAGGGACGGCGGGCTAGGCTGTCGTTGCGGGAGATGCGCAGCGAGGGACGGCGGATAGGGCTGTTGGCTCGTGCCACAAGCGGGGAGGGACGACAAGCTGCCATGGTGCCCGTGCGCATTCACTGCGTGCAGAGCTTGTGATGACACTGGCGACTGGACATGGCCGAAATGCCGCTCAGATAGCCGCCGCAGCTGCCCGTTTCCCGTGAGACGTTCCCGGACATTACGCTGTTCACCTTGACACGCAAATAACACATGTCATGTTCGCAATCTTACGCAGGCCCTATATCCACGAATGGAGGCTGTGCTGCCGGCACATTGCGTCGTCATGTTCATGTCAAGTTTAGAGGACGCGTCGAAAATTGCTGGTTGAGCTACAAAAGTAGAAGGTTGTGGCGAAGTCCCTGAGTCGTAAATGGTATCGATAGTTGGGGCAGTCGTTCCGTATTACGATTCAACATTCCTGCAAGGTCTTAACTTTGCTAAAGTCCGGTAGGTGGCTAGTGCAAAGCAGGGGCACCGGTGCTGCGATTTAGTAATCATGCCGAATCGTTTAAGCGCAATGTGTTTAATACATGCCATGACATAAAACACACGGACCCAACCGGCGCAAACCCCTCTCGCTGCGGCGGTACAGAAACATCGTGACGGCAGTGAACATGGCATAACGTGGCCCCCGGCGGCATACCGCGCTCAGGAAATATTGCAGGCGACCAGTTGGCATATGACGTACATACTTACCAGGGGCACATGGCCGTGAGGCAGACGTGCGTAGATCCCAGGCGTGCAACGATGGGATTTTGTCTACCCGGATTACTGCTGTTATCACGTGGGTACTCCG